TGCTAAGATCATGCTGTTGTGTATACTAAATCAGATCTGTCTCCAGTAAATGTTTGACTCACTTTTTTATTATTATTATTATTTTTAAATAGTTCCAGGGTTGAGTAAGACTTATGGCTTCCAGCCTAAAATGCATCGTCTACGCATGATGCATACCTTCCTCTGGTACCTGATCTATGGGCATCCGCTCCGACACAACTGCAGCAGCTCTGATTCAACCAGTCAATCATCAAGCGGCGCAGACGGCTCCGATCCTGCTGCCAAACCCGCAGACAGCAAAGCACAACAGGATCTGAAAGAAGCAGAAAGCTCTACACCTGCAGACAGACCAACACCGTTGTTTGACAGTGTTGGCACCGGATGTGACGGCCGGAAAAGTGCAGACTCCAGCTTATCTAACATGGAAGTGGCATCTGGTGATGAAGGAGAGGAGCAAAAAGATAGTTACTCTCAGTCTGACATGAAAGGTGAGACAGCCTCATGTATACTTTTATTTGGATTGCTTGTTTCTGTCTACAGGGGTGTGGAAGTTTTGCATTTTCCCAGCTAATGTCCTTGGTTCACCTTTTTTATTTCCTGTGTGACACTGATAGTCTATCTCGATGAAGACTCCTGGAAGAGATTCATCCCTCCTGTCCGTGTTCACGAGGAGTACAGCAGCGGCTGGGCGATGGTGGGCGACCTGCTCCTCTGTTTGCCTCTTTCTGTTTTTGTGCAAATTATTCAAGTTACTTATAAGGTGAGTGTGAAGCTTTGTTTTTGGGGGAAAAAAGGCCATGCAGTTCATTGGCTAGTGTGGAGTGGGAAATATGTTTTCTCTGAAAAGATGAACGGGTCGACTTTGTGGCAGATATGTGCAGATTTTCTCAGTTTGAACTCATTTTGTAGCAGATGTAGTGCAATGTTTAGGTATTTGTGGATCAGTTACCTTAATACTGTGTAAATACTAAAAAATGTGCTCACATATTTTAAAAGCATCCGTCTTTCAGTTTTCTCTGAGTTTCAAGTGGCAAACATCAGCCCTGTTATTGTTCTTTGAGATGCACTATATGGACGGTAGTATAGTTCTTGTGCTGATGTTAATGCCAGAGGAGGGTTGGAGCTCTGCGCTTACTGAGTCTGCAGAGTGCTGGTGATGTTTACACACTGTGCATCTCAGCACTTGGCTAAACTCTAGTTTGGGACTTTATGTGGTCTGCTGCTTCATGGCTGAGATGCTGTGCTCCTAAACACACTTGTACCACTACAGTGCCATGCATAAATTCAGTGAGCTCTTTAGAAGGACCCATTCTTTTGAGTTAACACTGCTAACTTGTGCCCGCAGGTGGAAGGACTGGAGGAATATCTCAATGATCCTGTAAAGCAACATCATCTGGTGAGAGCGCTGCCTGCACGAATGAGAAGACGGCTGCTTTATAAACGGTGATTTTCATTCTGTCCTCTCGGTAACACGCCACATCTGGGACCTGAAAGTGAGCATTTATCGACTATTTTTTGTTTTTTTATTTTTTTATTTTAGGAAGTACATCTTTGTATTTCATGAAAACCTGCTAAAGTTGGTCTACATGGGTCTTCTGCAGTTTGGTCCAATTGAGAAGTTCATGGAGAAGGACCAGGTACACAAAACCTTAAAACAGTAAAGTACGTGTAAGCGTACGAGGACTATTAAAAGGAATACAAGCACATGTTTTTGATTTTTAAGGTTTTTTCTAAGGTTGTAAAAATTGCTTGATCTTCACAAAAATCTTACTTATCAATGACTGTAAATGTAGCTGCTCAGGAGCATTTTTATGCATTAATATGTCTTTATCCATTCAATTATCCAGGTGTTTGTGTATCTTAAACGTAATGCTACTATTGTTGACACCACCAACACCGAGCCTCACTACTGGCTGGTCACAGAGTGCCTTGAAAAACCGTTTGAAAGGCGCCCTTACGTCTTCAACACTGCTGATGACCTGGAAAAGTACTGGTTTGACCTGATGTGCGTCTGCCTCAACACACCACTGGGTACGTACATACATGACCATAAAACGCACGCACTGTTCTGGCAATTATTCAAATAATAATATGTCCCTGTTTGAAAATGTTCTTTTTAGGGGTAGTTCGTTGTAAGAGGAACACCACTGATGAGGAAACGACTCCTTCTTTTGTGCAAGAACGCCACGTTTTCGCAGGAATGGCGTACCTGCTAAAGTACGTGTGTAATGATTTCTCTCCCTCTGGCTGCAAGGGAGGAAAAAAACGATATGAAGGTTCCTGGCTGTCGCCGAGTGAAATCGGTTTTAAAGAGGGTGCTGCATCATAAATCGCGTTGTGACTTATTAAAGTAAAAGCTGTGCCTTACCACAGCAGCCAACTTTGAAGGCAAAAGAAATGTAGTTTTACTTCACTACTTGGTGAGTAGTTTGCGAGTGTTTGCAGACAAGTTGGCAACTTCCATGCAAACTATTGAGCTGCTAACAACCGTATACCACTTTACAACCAGCTTCACACTAGCGACTCCCGGCAGCCACTTGTCAGCCAGTCAGAGAGCACCCATTTTTCTGTGTGGCTGGGTTCTTATTCACTGTGCTTCTTTTCTTCCATTTCTCATTTTCAATTAAAGCTGACTAACTCGAGCAGTTACAGTACTACAGTAGCACAGAAACCTTTCATACACAGTGTTTTAAAGTCACGCTGATGAATGTGCATCTGTCAAACACACACAGGGGCAGTACTGAAGTGTGTGATGACGGATTGATACCAGGAGACGGTAAAGGAGCAGGAGGACTGGACTCTGAATTTTTTGGTCATCTTAAACGCAACTGGTTTTGGACCAATCAGCTGCTTTCTGTTAACATGGTACAAACACAGTATGCAATACAGACAGTCATGTGCATGTTGAATGCATGCTGGCATTTTTGACATATTGGGGTTTTTTTGTTTTTAAGAGGCAATCTGGTTTAGAGGCACAGGACAACAAAACCAGACTAAAGAGCCTCCTGAGTAAAGATGCTCTCAGATTTGCGCTTAAAGCTGGTGAGTTTTTGTTTTTTTTTCTTTTGTCCACTTCATGTGATCAGCTATGTCACATCTGCTCCTGGAGCTTTTAACATTTATATTAACCACAAATCTCTACAACAGGAGGTACAGCGACACCGCGTTATGTCACATCCAAGCGGCCAGCGAGGGCAGAAAAAGTTCAGGTATGGGATTTTCTATCTAACTCTAACATATGCTCATCTTCCAGTTTTTTATGTCTATTAAATAAGTTCAAAGCTACTCAACAGCCCTGCATTAAATCCTGCCTGCAGAAAATGAACAATGTTCAGAGGTTTTCTTTTCCGACATACAATTTGAGGAAGCTGTTGAACAGTGGGGGTGTTTCTGGTCTTCAGCCACGTCTTAATAGTAATGGGATGTGCAGAAGAATAGAAACGCTGTTGCAGCAGTGCAACATTTGGTCTAATAATCTAGTACGTCACAACGCTAACAGAAACTAAGAATTCTAACTTTGTGGAAGAAGCTTTTAAGCAGGTATGTTTAATTAAGCTCAAATTGAGAGTACAATCATAATGTGGGCCTTTATTATATAATAAACAACATAATTATTTACCTGCTCATTCTTTTTATGTCCAGTATTGTAACTATCCAAAGGCAGTAATGGTGTTGTTTCTTTTTATTTATTTACTGATCAGTGCTCAAAGACATCTATTTAGACTGTCTAGAGGTTATTGTTTGTATTCTTATTCACTGATAACCAGGTGGGAATAGAACCAGCATCCAGAAACCAGCGGGTGGTTGGAGGAAAGGGGCAGAAGAGGAAGAGAACCAAGAAAGATGTTGTCAAAGTTCCACGCAAGAAGAAAAAAGGTACAAAGTGTCCATTTTGACCTAAAAATGAATGCATGTGTCTGCTGGATGTGAGGAAAAACACGTGTTTTCATAATCAAAGAGCCCAAGAAACGCACTCCTGCACACGATGAGACGGACCACCAGGCTTTGAAACGGATGACCAGACAAAGAGTCAACTGGACTGTACAGGAAGACTCACTGGTGATGCTCTGCTGTGTGGCTGCAGACCTGCTCAACAGCAAGGTACGCACAGAAATTCAATCATCTTTTTAAATTTTACAGCTTCTCGCACGTACTTCCTCCAAAACGTGCTGCACGTTACGTCATGTGTTGCAGTTAAAAAGGCAGTTTGTACCTCACTGCGTGGTGAGAGACCTGCTCCACGCAGAGTTTGAGATATCATCGGATAAAACGTCAGTTGCCGTTGGACGTCGCTCAAGATACATCCTGAAAAATCCTCAGACACTTCTGAACTACAGGTGAGTGCAGATGGCAAAGAAACACATACTTTTAAATCCAGTCATTCGTGAAACTCGTGGAATTTTGCTGCAGGATCTGCCTGGCTGAAGTGTACCAGGACAAGTCGCTGATGAGCCTTTTGGAGAAGGAGAAACCTGCTGATCCCGAAAAACCAGAGGTATGTGTTTGCCGTTCTTTTTATTTCCATTTTCTTTATTTTTCTTTATTTAAGTGAATTGAAAGTGTAATATTTCTGTCTGTGCTTTTTTAGGATTGTGCCAAAGTGTTCTCAGAGTATATCCGGCTGCTCAGACAGAAGTTCAGCACAATTGTCAATGCTCATGATTTGATCATCCCTGACACCAAACAGCAGCTCTTCTCGAGGTAAAAAGCTGGAAGATTGATGTGCTGGCATACAATATGTAGCTAAGTGTAAAGCTAACAAGTGTTTGTTTTTTTTTAAACAGGTTTAAGGTTTCTGCAATAGACAGCGGGAAAAAGCTCCCATACAAAGACACTCTGAGCAGGTAAGGTTATCTAAGATTTTTACATTAGAATATGAATGTTTATGGCAGTAAGTGATTGTTTGTTTGTGTGTCTCCACTGCAGCACAGATGACATTCATTCTGTAGTGTTACATAACTTGATCCAGAGCACTCTGGCCATGACCAACAATCAAATGAAAACCTCCAGATCCTTTCAGGTACAGCCAACCTTCAGTTTTAGTCCTTTTTTCCATAAAATCTCCCTTTAACCTCCTAGGACCTGGTGTCCACATATGTGGACATCACATTTTGGGTTATTTAGACCAAAATACTCAATTTTACTCTACAGGGGCCTGATATCACTTAGGAGGACATTATACTGCCACTGTTCTATCGAAATTTTAAACGAAAATCCTCATATGTGGCTCTCATTTTTCTTAGAAACAAAAAAAAAAGGTAAAAAAAAAAATCTGGTAATTCTTTGTTTTTTACATTCATCAAGTGCCAATCAGCCCAAATATCAAAGAGAAATTAAAAATGCATGCTTTGGAAGAGTTCGGGTCTTAGGAGGTTAACTAAGTTTATCTGTAAAGAATGGTTGTTTTTTTTTTATTCATGTCTTCAAACAAAAAATCATTAAAAAGTGTAATCAAGCTTTATATAGAATTAAATTCCCTTAATAAGTAGATCTGTGTCATGTTTTAAGGCTCAGTCCTTTGATTATTTGTCTCACTTCTGTCGTAGATCTTCCACTTGTACAGTCAGTATGACCAGGAGCTTCTGTGCAAAGTCTTCATACAGTGCAGGAAGAGGGGTCTGGTCAACCGCCGGCGTATCAGCCAGCAGTTTGGGCCGAAGAAGAACCGAGCGCTGCCCATCCTGCCCATGTCCTACCAGCTGTCCCAGTCCTACTTCAGGTACGCGACCAATTGAGAAATGATACGCTCGCACGCATCACTGAAACAACACTCGATCCTGGTAGCTGGTCGGGAGTGAACGTCCTACACTACAGAGAACGGAGTGGGAATGTTTTACTAACTGTTTCATTACCATGGTAACCCACGGCTCCTCCTCTGTCTTCCACATGTTATTTGCTCCACTGTTTGCTCATCAAAAGTGGCGAGGTATTCAAAACAAAGAAAAAAAAACAACCCTACATTATAACTATTGGACACTTTCCAAATGTACTGTATGTCTGAATGAATGAGTTGATTAATTAGCTGGAATAGAGCTGTAGCCACTTTCACCTAAGTAGCACTCATAAGTAGGAATTATAGGTGATTTTTGTAACTGCTAGAACTCGTCTAGAAACCTGGACGTCTTTGGTTTTTTTAAATTTCTCACACAAAGGCTGCTTTCATGACAAATAGTTATGTGCACTATGTTATGGTAAGTACCCTTTAGGAAGGGGTGCCCCTGGGATCAGCGTAGCTTCCAGCCCTTTGTTTCTGTTTGCATTTGAGTGCTTACAGGAAATCCAGAGTGATTCATTACCCAGTTGTGTCCGGTGTCGGGCCCTTTTTATTATATGGTGGATTCCTAGAAACAAGTGAAGATGGTAAAGCTTCAAGATATTCACCTAAAGCTAGCAAGCGTGGTTGATAAGCTGCATCCATAAACTGTACAGGTGGATACAGAATAATAAAAATAAAATAAAAATCCAGTAGTCCAGTATGTGAATTCTTCCTGCACTGCCCCCTGAAGTTTTTCACCACCCCTCTCCCTCTCCTTCCTTATAGGTGTTTTTCATGGCGTTTTCCTCATTCCCTGTGCACCGATTCCTTCCGCTTCTTAAGGAGTCTAATTGACAATGGCACGCATGATGACAGGCCCATCATCACACTCTACAACGAAACTGAGTACAGGTCACAGAATGGAGAGGAAGTGCTGGAGACAAAAACAGGCTCCAAAAGTAAAGAACATGGAGGAAAAGAAGCTGACAGACCAGCGAGTCAGCCGGAAAGGGCAAAAGATGTCACCACAAAGGAAGGAGATGACAACCAAGGTGAAATTAAAGGAGACGAGAGTATAAAGGACGCTGACACGAACAACGAGAAAACTGATGTTTCGAGCAAGCCGGACGAGCAGAAAAAGCCTGACGACAGCTCCACATCTGGATCTGGTGAAGAGGCTCCAGGAGTGTCGGCCACGTCAAACACAGTACCTCCAGCTTCAGACGAGCCTCCAGATGTGTCGGACATGCTCAAGTTCTCTCTCCAGTCCCCGGGTGGAGCCTGCCTAGTCTCGCTCAGCCTGATGTCTCTAGGACTGCTGAATGTGTACGCCTCCATACCTAAACAGATGGTGGTGGTGGACAGCAACCTGGTGGACAAGGATGTAGTGAAGAGGTGAGGCATAAGGATTCAGCACCGTAATGACTTTTATACAGTTTCAAAGCATCTCAGGCAAAGATATGTACATCATCTTTCACACATGAAATGTTGCTTGAAGTGTTAATAAACAACAGCAGGTTGAAAGTGTAGTAGTGACAACACATTGAAGTAAAAGCAAAATCAGAAAGTAGTTTTTATTATTAAGTTGTACAGATATATCCCGTTTTTAGCTAGAAGGAACTGTACAGTGGGCTCTCATTAAGCTTACAAACAGAAAACATAAAAAAATTATTTGTAGCCCGATTTACAAAAGTCACAATCTTTTCTTTTCAGTATGGCAGAACTAGTAGAAGAAGAAGAGGAGGATGACGATGATGGTGATGATTACGATGGGAAAAAAAGGCAACAAGTGAAGGCACAAAAAGCTTCGCACACCAAGTACTTAATGATGCGAGGATATTGCACCCCAGGCATCGGTAAAGCTTTAGAAACCTTTTACTGTGTAATAATACCTGGTTGATGATTGAACGGAAAGTTTGTTGGATTGATTGAACAATTTGTCAGCAAACTTCCAAAATAGTTTTGTAGCAAGTGGCAAGCAGTTTATGTCAGTGCATTTTGTTCTAAAACAGTTTACACACTCTTCAGTGAAGTTCCTGCCATATTTGGAGAAACTGTTTTATTTATATAGCACCAAATCAGAACAACAGTCGCTGTGCTTTATTGTAAAGACCCGACAGTAATAGAAATAAAAAGCTTAATATTCAAATGACCATTTATGAGCAAGCACTTAGCGACAGTGGGAGGGAAAAACTTCCTTAAACAGGAAGAAGCCTCCAGCACAACAGCTGTCTGTTGGAGGGACAGCCGTCTGCTGTGACTGGTTGGGGGTGAGGGAACAAAGACATGACAAAAAGACACACACCAGAGATTAATAATAACAAATGATTAAATACAGAGTGGTGTCTAAACACATAGTGAGTGAAGAAGACAGTATAACTAAAGGAGGGTTCAGGGTCACATGATCTATGCCTAACTGTAAGTCTTAAGAGAGGTGAGGTAGGTAGGTGGCTTATAATTTATGCACAAAGGTGGAAAAGTTTTGTGATCGTTGAGCCGTTTCATTGTTTTGTAAACAAATATAACTCGATCAAGAATCTTCTTAGAAAATCTTCGGAGAAACAACCTCTTTTTTTCACAAAAAAATCCAGATGAGTAGAGCAACTTCTTAAGATTCAAAGATGTCATATTGTATTTTGGGTTTTATACGCTTTTTGTCTCTGATTTTGTTGCTCATTTTTGAAATGGATCACGGGGGTGGAATTGAGTTTCTCTCCCTCTTTGATTGGTGTATAAGGGTTTTAACAACCTGGAAGACAAACGCAACGCCAAAGCTGGTCCCGTCTGTCTTTCACACACTCATGGACGGCAGTCGCTAGCATTGTGTTTATTAGCAGCAGTCCTGCAGTAGCATCAGTTGATTGCTAGTAATATAATTTGTAGGTGTTTTCTGTGTTAAGAAGTTTAAAGGATGTTGCATTTCTATTTATGTTTGTTCTTCTCTTTTTCTAGTAAAAGTGCGCAACCTAAACACCAATGATAGCATTGTGATGGAGTCGTGTATTATGAGGTTGCAGCTGCGCAACACGCCCGCTCACAGCCTGTTCAGTGCAGAGAGTAAGAGCCACCGCATTTTAGACTTTTATTTTTGAACACCAAACTCCGTTTGTATAAAATCCTTTATTTTCTGTTTCCTTCATTTTTAGACTTTCCACCTCTGGACTTGACAAAATGTGGTCCATCCCTTCTGCCCTCCAACCTCACCTCCTTCGTCCGTTCAGCCTCCTTTTCTCCACCCAGTGTGGAGGAGTGTTACAGGCGCTTTGTAAATCAAAAGGGATACACCCCGCGGGATATTGAAGCGTGCACTCAGATCATGAGGAGCTTAGATGAAGCTGGTGAAAGAGGTTGGGATGCTTATGACTTTCTCGAGGCTCACGCGAACCTGCTGGAGCCGCATTCTGGACGCAGCAGGAAGCTGCAGCAGTACATGGAGGTAAAAATCTAAATCTAAACGCAACATCCTTATGTGAAGGGTGAAGAAAACAGATTTGGTGTCTAAGTTATGTTACGATGTGTTTTCTGCATTGTTTTAATTTATTTCCTGCTACAGGATCTTCGTCATCGTTCTTATGACTCTTTAAGGATTTCTCCCTTTGTTTGCGTGTCTGCACTGCAGGAACTGAAAAATGACAAGTCCTCAGGATGTTTTAAAATTCTAGGCATTACTGCTTTCATTGTGCTTCAATGGGAAATCTACACTGTAGCGATGTCATAAATGCAAACCCCATGGAACTACATGTCGTTCAGCACCATCAGTTCATTCTGTGCACTACTTTTTCACCAGTTTTTGAATTTATTACTGAGAGAATAACAATCATTCTCTCAGTATAAGGAATAGTAGTCATAGTATAATATAAAGATTCCCAAACGCCAGCAAATTCCTCGAGTTGAAACTATCTGAATAGAAGCAAATATGTTTTTCCTGAAAAAAAAAATGACCGGAACAAAAAGTGGAGACCCAGGAGGGGAAAAAGTTTTTTTTTTCCCTTCTATAAACTGGCACCGGGACACGGTTATTACACATAATGCACCAGCATAAATGTGGGCAATAACATCAGACACTAGGTAGGTAGGGAATAGGTTATGTTGTATGTCTCTACTAGGATTCCCCACAGGAGCCTAAGCCAGGCTTTACATCACGCACCTGTTTCCAATGATGAAAGCCACAGCAGCTCATTCAGTTTCTTTAGTCTGTTCTAATTTTCTTGATATGTAGTTGAAATGTTACACAACACTGAAGCTGCAATAATTACAGAGGAATCACCTTGTAAAAAGTATTAAAAATGGCCGTGACTCATAGCAACATGTTTGTGTTCTAGGAGTTGGAAGAAGAAGGCCAGGTGGTAAAAGTTGGGAGTCTCAGTGTCCGCTGGGTGCTCATGAAGCTCGCTGGACCATGGCTTCTTACTGTCAGCTCCAAGCACTGGTCTCAGTCATCCACTGCGTCACACCCGTTTTTGGAGAAGAAGCAAACCATCCCCTTTATACGGAAGCGGTGCAGCCGCGAATTCCAAGTGGAGAAGGAAGAACCACCGGCGAAAAGATTGGCTGTGGATAGAGAGGACGTCGCTGACAAAGAGGATGTGGACGGAGTGCCGCGTAACCAAGAAACAAATGAGGAGAAACAGCTGGAACAACTGGAACGGCCGATGGAGAGGGCAGATGAATCGAGGGGAGAGCAGTTGTTGTTATTGGAGGAGGAGGGAGGAAAGCAGATACAGGAGGAGGAAAAACAGGCTGCAGAAAGGAAGAAGACGACGGACGCAGAGAGAAGACAAGATAACAGGAAAGAGCAGAGGTTGAGAAGAGGAAGGAAAGAGGATGAGAACAACGATGAGGCGTGCTCTTCCTCCACAGGCCCCGATACTGATGCGTGAGTACCAAATTTAATCATACCAAGGTTTTTCCCTTGATCAATATTCCAAGTTTCATCTCTCTCCTTTTTGCATCCAGTGAAACCAGCTTCATCAGCCGGCCCTGGCGCTTGGTTGATGGTAAGGTGAACCGGCAGGTGTGTAAGGGCATGCTGGAAGCTGTTCTCTACCACATCATGTCTCAGCCCGGCCTGACACACCAGGCGCTGGTAGGGCATTACAAAGATTTGCTGCAGCCAGTGGCAGTTCAGGATCTTGTGCAGGTATTCCAGTCTAGTAGTTGTTACTTCATGTATCAGTTTTTTATTTTTTCGTTTAAGTGTATCAACATTTCATACACACAAACACTAGAAATCTAAATCGAAAGGATCTAAAGATAAAATAGACTTTCCATTATTTGAGCACTTGGGTCATACACGTCCAATATTCAGTCTCCCTTCTTACCTCTATCAGCTCCTTTAGCAGGTAAATGCTTTCTATAGTGACAGTTTGTTGCTGGGCTGAGCAAGTGCACTGATGAGAGTAGTGAAAATGAACCAGTCAGCCTTATAGCGGCACTAAATCCATGCTTAAATGTTAAAAATATGCCTGTATCTTTGAATAGCAGACACAACACGATTGCTGTGTAAAACGTGATTTTAAAAATAGGAAGCAATGATTTGCAAATCTCATAAACCCAGATTTTATTCACACAATAAAAGGTATCAAATGTTTAAAGTTGTGAAATAGATCAAGTCTCAGAAAAGTTGTTTGCTGCCGTTTAGCGCCTGAGGAGACCGACTGCTGGACTTTTGGGAGAGGATGTTTTCCCATTCTTGTCCGATGGAGGATTCTAGCCGCTCAGCAGTCCTGGATTTTTGTATTGCATTTTTGGTTCCATGCTCTAAATGTTTTCAGTTGTTGAGAAGGCTGGGTTGTAGGCAGGACAGTTCAGCACTTGGACTCTTCTGCTATGAAGCCATACTGGTCTGCAGTGTAGTGTCTTACTGAAATATGCAAGATCTTCCCTGAAAAAGACGTGATGCTGCTCTAAAAACTGTTTATACCTTTCAGCATTCATGTTGCCTTTTCAGATGCACAAGCTGCTGAGGTGGTCCCTAACCTCTTTGGTCCAGAGTTTGCGGCGTCCATATTTCCCAAAAAGAAATTTCAAATTGTGATCATCTGATCACAGAAGGTTTTTTTTTCTCAGTCCATTTTAAGTTAGTTGTGAAGCTGTGATTTGTGGGTCATATTCATACGTGACTTCGTCTTTGCGTGATGCAGCTTTAACAGGCATTTGTGGATGACACGATAACCAGTACTGATTTTCAGCTTTACCCTTAGTGCAGAGATTGATGACATTATGCACGTCTTCACAATCTGGCATTAAGGAACAATCTGGCATTAAGGAACAATCTGGCATTAAGGAACAATCTGGCATTAAGGAACAATCTGGCATTAAGGAACATTATCAAATTGTTCCACAGTTTGTAGACACTGTTATTTTTGCAGATTGTGAACCTCTTCCTGTCCTTACTTCTGAGAAACTCTGAGCGTCTCTAAGATGCTCTTCTTTTATCCAGTCATGTTACTGACTTGTTGCCCATTAACCTAATTAGCTGGAAGTAGTTTATGAGATTTGTAAATTGCAGCATCCCAACTTTTGGGGGACAGTATACACAACATGAAAAATGACAAATATAAAAGTTACGACAAGTTTGATGAGGGCAAAGGAAGAACTTCTTAAAACGTGGTACATCCCAGGGTAACTTGTTTTTACACATTAGCACTCTTTAGCTTGTCACAGTTTTAGCATTGCTATAAAAGAGCTGTCTTTCCTTATTTTTTGTCCTATAGATAATGTGCCCATATTAAACATGTTCAAAGTTTGAGATGACAAGTTCCGCAACTTTGTTAAGAATACCCGTGAGCCAAAATGCATCAAAGACAAAAATTGACCCTTTTTATGGTTGTGTTTTTACTCTTTTTGTCTCTTCCACAGGCACTTATCGAACTGGGCTGTGTGACGAAGAAAACTCTGGCTAAAAGTCCTAAACCCTCACTGTTCACTCGTCCTGCACAGCAACGAAAAAGCGAGAGAGAACCAGACATAGTGATGTATGAGCCCACCATCAGCTGCTGCCTGCGACTCTGTCGAGTGTTGCCCAACGAGCGAACCTGGAACTGTTGTATACCCTGAAAAGTGTTTGCTAAACTTATTTTAGATCTCCAAGGACTGAGAAAATATTGGCACAATGATCAAGCCTTTGAGAGCTAAGTGAGGATATTTTAAAAATTTGATCAGGCTGTTTGTATTTCTTTTGGGAAAGTTTTTTTTTTGTGTTCAGCTTTTGTGTACTCTAACTTATAATTCTTAATAAAAATCCATAAGTCTTCTTCAAACTTGTATTTATTAGTTAATCACGTTTTTGTCATTTTCTCTGAAACATGCAAAAGCTGTGTTTACACTTATGCATACAGTATGCAGGTCTTAAAGGTTAAAATCAGCTTTGTAAAGTCTTATGAGAGAAACGCACTCGGTGTACTCTATTTTTTACTTTATTTAGTAATAAATTTAGATTCTTTATATTACAAGTTTTTTTCTACATGATAAAGGTGTGAAATCACAGAAAATGTTCGCGCTCACTGCCCATATTTTTTTTATAGTACAATGGAAAACAAGAGATTTTCTGTCATTTAATTGTTTATCAATTACTTAGATTCTTTGGTGTTGCGTGAATGACTCTGGGGGAAGTCTTTCATGCAAAAAAATGGTATGTCTGATATCTGTTTGCTGAGGAGTCATCTTTTTGTCAGGTTTTCATGGCTTCTGTTGTTGGACCCACTCGTTCACTCATGTTCTCTCTATAGCCTGATTGGGTACCTTCAAAGTGTATCAAGAGATTGGTGTAGTGGAGCGAGGTTGTTTCTAGCTGCAGAAGACTAGTAATGTGAGTAGTGTTTACAGAACGGGCAGATATCTGGAAAAGGGCGAAAACACCAGCACACTCTAATGAAAAGCACTTTAATAACTGTTTTATTACAGGATAAGAAGGTGGAGATGTTTTAGCAATAAGCTGTCATTAGGATATTTTAAGACAATCACAATATGAAAACCAGAGCTCTAAGTACTTAATGAAAAGCATCTGTATCTTTGATTGGCAGTGGAAGCTCGCCTAACCTTTATTACATTTATTGTCATTTGGCATCAACAGGACATTTTGCACAGAACTTGCTCTATATTTTCTCTTTTTGAGACTTGTTTGTAAACCCTAGAGATGCTAGTGTGAGAAAATGTGAAATGCTCAGACCAGCCTGTCTGTGACCAGTGCTATAATTTTATTTGTTCAGGTGGTTTTGTAATTACTGGCGTACGCTGTGCTTTCACTTCCTAGATGGTTGTAAAGGTGCTGAAAGTCGGACTAGGCAGGACTGCTCTGTTTTTGTTTGTTTTTTTAAAGACTCACAGTTTAAGTCTAGTTATGATGTTCTGCCGTCATCTGTTGATACACTTGAGATAGGTACAGTCATATAGAGAACTGGGGTTACAACAGAAAGTGCAGGAATAATACCGTTGTTATTGAGTGAATAAATACAAGACTGATACAGAATGGGGGGAGTCTCAGGAAACCGTGATAACGATCACCGGGGAAACAAAGAGGAAAGGAATGTACCACAGTCACATTCATTTCAATGTGACTTATGAGCACAAAACTTCCTCTTTTCCTTCAGCCAAAGTACCAAACCTTCAACATAGTTGACTGTAAGTGTGGACCTCCGATCAGCCTACAGATATTATGTACAGATATGTTTGAGTGCACTGTGCAGGTGTGTGTGAATTCCTTGAGTTCTCCATAGCCTACAATACAGGACTGAAATGGGACACTCAGAACATGTTAAAATGGATAATCTTCACTTTAATCAGAGCCACTGTCTAATGCTGGCTCACGACTAAAGCTCTCAATTGCACAACTGATGTTTCTCCCATATTACAGTTTAGAAAAGTTACGATGCATATACAGAGTACTCTATAAGCTAATGCATGGTATACTGTAATGGCATTAAAAGCAACAAGCAAAAAATACAAAACAGTAACTGCACAATAAGTACAAACTGGATATAAAGCAAACGTTTGGAAGCATCCACTAAATGTTTAAACCTCAAGACTGATAAAAAAAAACAGTGCATGGTGTGTTAAGGTCATACTGATTGACATAGAATCAGTATGTACTAACATAGAAGAGCCATCTCCACGGGACAAGACTCGGCAGTCCATCTGCATCTAAAGGTCAAAGGTCACTCTTTCGAGGATGCCAATGTTCACCTTTTGGACAGAGAGGACAGATGGTTTGAAAGAGGGGTAAAAGAAGCCATTTATGTCCACAGTAAGCGACCATCTTTGAACAGAGGCGGGGGTTTACGACACTGTCTGCCATCTATAATCCAGTTTTGAGATCCCTTCCCAGACGCCTTAACGCCCACTCACATCCTGGACCATCTGACCTCAGGAAATCACATGATAGGGTGGGGCCAGGTTTCACAAAGAGCTCACCCGAAACCCTGGCTGGTTGTGACCCACACCCATTTTCACACCTTGGCTCATGTGATTAGGTAGAGGATCATTAGGGGGTCCATTGTCCCTCTCGGGGGGACACTCCCACAGGAGTTAAATCTGGGTCTCTCCAACATTTGACCCTAGACCTGAAGAAGCTTCTCGGATCAGAGGTGAAACGTCTTCAAGCAACTTAAAGAAGTCCAGACGCTTTTCTTTCCAAGCTCCTTAGTCATACTGATTGATTTATATATATTTTTTAATTATTATGAGGATATTACTACTTTAAAGTCAGTATATAAAAAGATTGCAGTACGGTATGCATAATAGTGACAATGCTACACTTTCGTTTTCACAATTTGCCAACATTGATAACTTGATGGCTGTAAAACAGGAAAGGAAAAAACCAGCGGATGTGTGCTGTGAAAACAGGCTACACTGCCAACATTGTTCTCTTACAATAGAAAACCAAAATGAGGAGCTCGTAGAGCACATTCCCCTCTGCGAACGCCTTCGGACTAAATGTTTGATCATCTTCTCGACAACATTTGATTTCTAAAAATCTAGCTGGGAATAATGTTTTCCTATTTTATTTTTCTGGTCGCCTCCTCAGTTACTTTTCTGCGTACCCACCAAGTGTCCAGTCAAGGTAAGTGAAGGGTTTTCCAAGAGGCTGTGTTCACGATGTGCATGGTACAACTAATTTACAGCTCACGCTGCTGAATGTCTTAGAAACTTAGAGCCATCGTTACAGGTGGAAGCATACTGTAATACCCCATTCATTTAATGGTTCTCACTTTTTATTTTAGATGTTGTAAAGTGATAGATTAATTACTCTAACTGTGGCTCTTAGATTAGTGCTTGATCAGTTTGTAATGTGATCATTGAATTTGATCAGTCAATCTTAAAAATTTTAATAACTCAAGCGAAAAACAAACACACATATATAACAAGACCATCGTGTACAGTTGTGTGGTGAAGGATTATTATTTGTGGATATTTTGTGTTTAAAGAATATAAAACTTTGTGGGATCTAGTCCAAATGTGACAGACATCCATAAAAAACAAATGTTCATTTTATTTGTGGATTTGTTTAAACTTTTACTGCCAAATCACCCGACAGTATCCAAATACTGTGAGAATTAAGTGTTGTTGTAACTACTGTTTTATTGATTTTCTCAAACATGTACTGTGTTTCTTACAGGTTCTAGCTGCACAGAGTATCCTGTGTTCACTCCATCTGCGCTGGTAGTGAAGTACGGTGACCCAGCCAATGTTACATGTGTTGTATGTCAGAAGGACTGCAGTGGAGATGCTTCAGGTTTGGAGCACGCTGTGGGAAATGTTACACAAAATGGAACCACGATGTTCTGGACGGTTGACAGACTGACTGAATGGGGCATATCTCTACAGTGCTATTATACCAATGATGCTGGTGTTCAGTGTATTAGCGTTCTGAATCCAACTCTTTATCGTAAGTATGCTTACTTTATAACAGGAGACTGAATTTTGCATCATTTTGCATCATTTATTATCAGAATTTGATTTCTTTGTGTTAATACACAGTTAGATGGATTCATGCTCTCAGCGGTTACTGACTGACATCTACCTGTGTTACTCTTTCTTTCCCGGTCTTCACAGAGCCTCCAGAAAGTGTCTCTATCAGCTTTGTAAACCACACTGAGATGATGTTTGAGAATCAGCAGTACACCCTGCAGTGTAGCGTACAGAACGTAGCTCCTGTTCAAAGCCTCACTGTGACCTTCTACAGAGGAAACACAGCACTGGGTCACCTACTGTCCGACAGTGAACAGAAGAAACCAGTGAATGAGACCTTCACTCTGAACATCACCCCCAGTAGAGAAGATGATGGAGCCCAGTACTGGTGCGAAGCCAAGCTGGAGCTGAGACCAGCTGGACCACAGCCCCCTCCAGTGGTGACATCAGAAAAACTCAATGCTACAGTCTGTAAGTCACTGTGGGAAAATTAAAAGAATCAAACCTCAGTTTTATATTCACACCAAACCGACACAGTTTTTTCTTTGTTTGGTATCGCTTCCATATCTGTGCATAATCTTAAACCTTTTGCTGGGAGCAGCTTAGCTTATCTTAGAATACAGACTGAAAATATTAACAGACAGACCAAAACACATGATTTATACACCAGGTGTTTATTTGCTCAAATTACCCGTTTGTCTTTTCCTAGATTTTACTACCACAACCAGAAAGCCAGAACCTACAACCATTAAATCAACAACAAGGTCAACCACAAGAGCCACAACACCCCAAACTACAAAGTCCACAACTACAACCACCAAATCAACTACAAGCTCAGCCACAACGACAGCAGCGACCAAGACAGCAGTAATTGCACAAGCAATCACTACACCACAGAGCAGCTCCAACAGAATATTAACTCACAGCTTCATGTGTTTAACGCTTCTGCTCTCTGCTCTCATCTGATTTCATATCAAAAGATTCCATAAGCCTATTATAACAATGAATGTAATTAGATCATAGCAAATACTTCATTCATTTTCTGTATAGCTTCTTAGTTTTAAAGACAGTGAGTGAGCAGTATTTAAATGAGTTGTTGTTCTATATATGCACACATATAACGAACCAAGGTGAGTAGTTAGAGTTGCTTTCTTTTATTTAGACCATTAGAGTCGTTTACAGCTGTGCTAGAAACACCAACAAGCTGATGTTTCTCAGCTTGTAGTGTCGCTCTGGGATGTCGTCCTCATTTTAATTCATTAGAAATTAAACACCTTCATTTTCCTATAAATAAGAACACGTCCATTCTGACAGTGTTCACATTTATAATCTATTTGTTTTACAAACAAATGAGGAGCAGCAGAAATATAAGTTCAATCTCATAATATTGTCTTTATTTTTCCCTTTGTGCACATTCTCTCAGTCGACTTTAATCTCCGGCATGATCGCAGGAGGAAAAGTAATACTTTACTCTAAGAATTTAGTACATTTAGATATTTAATCATAAATAACACTGCAGGGAAATGTTTTCATTTGAGCTGTCGATGGTCTTTGATGAGGTCACAGCATTACCAAAGTTGCAACAAATCATTTCTGCCAGAGAAAAGTCGGGATCAGTCTGTGCATTAGTCCTGCGAGGATCATGAATGCCAAACTGGTGACCAAACAGTCCGACATTGGACCCATGTACCACAGTGCTGATTTGTATATAAATGCACATTATACATTTTGTTTTGCGTTAATGCTTTATTCACTGACAGCCACTATAACAGATCTTCCTGTAGTTACAATAACACCAGTTTTAGCTTCCTTCTATATAATGAAACATATGATCTGAGAATGGCTTTAATCACAGAATTCTGTTTTATGTGTGTATAATGATTTTTCTATGTATGTACACCAAATATGAACCAAAATAAAGTTGTTGATTTTTTAATGTAAACAACTTCTTCCTCTTGGTCACAACATTTAATGTGTACATGAGAAGTTTCTGTCTTTCTGTTCATTTAGCCTGTTTGAAAAGACAAGTGGCACAAGCTGATTAAACCATTTTTAGACGAAAGAGAGGAAGCTGGAGAACCGCGATAAACCCAAAAGGCAAAGAGAAGCCATGACTTGGTATTATTAGGATACACATTTGTGAATAATATTTGAAGTTGAATATATATGAATTATGAAGAGTTATGACGTATGAAAAATCAAAAGACTTTGAAATATATATGTACAAAATACTGCTGTTTCAACTACACCTGCTTACAGAAATTTAAGATGTGAGTGAAGTTGGACCCCCAACCTTCTTCAAATCCAACAAAAGTGGTATCAAACATTTGTGCTACTAAAATTGTCGTTTGTGCTGCTTCTGTTTTAAAGATATAAATGAAAATGTAAAGGTCAAAAGATCAACCAGCCCCCCCGCATTACCCAAATAAATCAAAAGTGGTGTCAAACTTTTGTGCTACGTTTGTGTTGCAAAAATGTTCGTTTGTGCTGCAATCATTTTAGAGATATTAAGTCTTGATGCATGTTCAATCATCCAGGATTACCTTTTGTAAATCCCAAATTGATTCTTGATTCTGTTCATCTGGATGTTGTGTTTTCAGTGGGAGAATGTTTTGTTATCCAAGTGACTTTTTCAGTGTCAGCTGACTGCAGGTTTCCCCAATCTTAGTACATGTACACTCAGTGAAGAGAGATGTTATATCTCCCTTCACTTGCATTCCAGTCACTGAAGGTAGTTTGCAAGAGGTTAGAGGATGACCCCAAATTCAGCAACAGAACCAGCCTCAGCACTGATCAGTTGTGTTTGCTTTTGGAACTGTGTGTTAATTCTACCTTTTTCTGTCATGGTCTGGGTGAGTCTGAGTAACTTTCCACAGCATCGGCTCTCCTCCTCTGGGTGGAGCCCACCTTTGCCTTGAGAATCTAAGTTAGGAATTCTTGTAAATAAAAGTTTTGTTTTTGCAAATCACTTCAAGCCTCTGATCTCTTGGTTCTGCGCTTGAGTCCATTCCACTCCATCGGCCTCTGAGCCATGACAGTTTCACATCCAAGGGTCAGTATTATTGTTCCATTGTGGGTCAGTACTACAGGCAGAAACATGGGTCTGCCATGGGTTCCCCAGTTTCACCCTCCGCGGCCAACATGTACATGGAAGAAGTGGAAAAGAGGGATTTGCTATCCTACCTTGGAACACCACCAAGTCATTGGTTCAGATATGTGGATGACACGTGCGTGAAAATCTAATCTCAGGAGGTACCACAATTCATGGATCACATTAACTTGGTGGACCAACACTACAAATTCACCAGGGAGGATATGAAAGGTGGCAGGTTAACCTTCTTAGACTGTGAGATTTCCATCAGTAATGAGGGACATCTAAAAGCTGATGTGTACCGTAAACCTACGCGCACAGATCAGTATTCACGGTCTGACTCTCATCATCCATTGGAACGTAAACTGGGTGTCATCCGGACGCTACAACACAGAGCGAACACCATCCTCACAGACACAGCAGCCAGGGAAGCAGAAGAACAGCACATCAAGAAGGCCCTGAGTAAATGTGGTTATCCCAGCTGGACAGTGGACATTTGTCAAAGCTGGGAAGGCGGCTAAAGAAAGCTCCAGCCAATCCAGGAGAGAAGGACAACCGCTGCCTAAGCAAAAACTCGTAGTGATCCTGTTGTCACGGTACTGGGTCTACGGCCCAGTGTTTGTGTGTTTTTGTTTTATTCTTTGATTATTGTTATTTCCTCAGTGTTTCCTGGTTTATTTTGAAGAGTATTGTGTGTTTGTCATTGTGTTTAGTTTCTCTTTCCCTGTGTCATTGTGTTCATTTGTGTCATTGTTTTTTTGGACAATTTTTTCACCACCCAGAGAGGAGATTACAAAGCCCTGCCCCTCCCCCACCGTGGTGCCTCTGATCACATCTCTGTTATGCTAATGCCAGCATACAGGCCCCTGGTCAAAGTCACGAAACCAGTTTGTAAGCAGGTACGTGTGTGGCCAGAAGGGTCCTCAGAGGCACTGCAAGACTGCTTTTCCACCACATACTGGGAGATCTTTAAACAGACTGCACCACAGACTTTCAGAAATATACAGGAGCTGTCATTGCCTACATCTCAAAATGCATTGATGATGTCACAGAGACCAGGACCATCACTGTTTGGGCCAATCAGAACCCATGGCTCACAGGTGAGGTCTACAGGCTCCTGAGGTTGAGAAATGCAGCCTTCAGAGCTGGGGATGAGGTGAGCCTAAGAACAGCAAGGGCAAACCTGTCACGTGGCATCAGAGGCGAAAAGGCAGTACTCCAGGAGGATTTCACAAAGCTTCAGCGACAGCAGAGATAATCAGAGGCTGTGGCAAGGAATAGAAACCAACACAGATTACAAGCCCACTCTGCAGACCGCTGTCGGTTCCACCTCTTTACCGGATGAGCTTAACAAATTCTATGCTTGCTTTGATGCACAGAAGACTCCACCTCTCCAACAACCGGGTGGTGACACTATCCCCAGACAGTGTGTGGAGATCCCTTGCCAGGATCATTACATGCAAAGCCCCAGGTTCTGATAACATCCCTGGGTGAGCACTGAGGGACTGTGCTGTGGAACCCACAGATGTCTTCACAGACATCTGTAATACATCACTGAGCCAGGCTGTTGTTCCCACATGCCTCAAAGCCTCCACCATCATTCCTGTACCGAAGTCACCTACCTCCTGCTTTAATGACTACTGTCCAGTCGCTCTCACCTCCATCATTATGAAGTGCTTTGAATGGTTAGCCATGCATCAAATCAAAACATCTCCTCCCCCCAACCTGGATCCATTTCAGTTTGCATACTGGTGTTCTGGAAATCCATCCCACCTCAAAAAACATCCTACCCAATGTTTCTGCGCAGACGCTGTGCATGCGCACAACACCAAACCCAAATTAACTTATTTTTCTCTCATCCAAGGTTATGGTTCTTACGGTTATGGTTAGGGGGTAGGTTTAGGCAAGTTTGCAGACGACACAACTGTGGTAGGTCACATCAGCAACAACGATGAGACCTACTGCAGGGGTGAAGTTCATCTGGCCGAGTGGTGCAGCAACAACAACCAGTACCTGAACGTGGAGAAGACCAAGGAGATCATCATAGACTTCAGGAGAACTCACTCCCTGCACACCCCACTAACCATCAATGATGCTGCTGTGGAGAGGGTAAGTTCCTGGGTGTGCACATCCCAGAAGATCTCTCCTGGTCAAAAAAGAGAGAGCGATATCCTCACCACCTGGATCACTGTGTGCTATGACTCCTGCACTGGGTCCTGCTGGAAAAAATTACAATGGTAGTGAGAGCAGTGGAGAGGATTGTGGGTACTTCTCTTCCCTCCCTGCAGGAGATCTACTGCACCTGGCTCATCTGGAAAGCTCTCTGGATTACAGGTGACTCCACTCATCTGTCCAACAGCTTCTTCAGTTTGCTGCCATCAGAAAGGAGATTGAAGAGCCTTTCAAGCTAGAACCAGCAGACTGACAGACAGCTTCATCCATCAGGCTGTCAGGATGCTGAATTCACTTTCTGCTCTCACACACACAAACTCCAGACCTGCATTCACCTCCTCCCTCCGAACCCCCGCCCCCCAAACATACAAAACTGCCCCATCCCCATTTGCACACGAACTTGATCACAATCACTATGATTGTGTTGGAAACTGCTGTTTGTACAATTGTATAGTATTGTGTTGTACATAAGACTTCTATTTTATTCTATCTTTTTATCTTTATATTGTTTTAGTATACTTTAAGGGCCATGGGAGCATTGCAATTTCAAATTCCTGTGTATGATTGTATATATGGTCTTTGACATTAAAGCTGACTTTGACTGTTTCCTCATGTGTTTCTCCTTCCTCTGATCAACTCCTGTGTGTCTTCCATTGTTCAGCGTCAGGTTGTCTGTTTTCAAGGGGGGATGAGTCGGACTACAGAGATGAAGTCAACAGACTGACTGAGTGGTGTTCAGTTAACAACCTCCAACTGAACACCACGAAAACTAAAGAACTTATCTTGGACTTCAGGAAGGGCAGAGCAGACCCGGCCCCACTTTACATTCACGGGAGCTGTGTGGAGAGGGAACACTCCATGAGGTTTCTGGGCGTGCAGATCTCTGATGACCTCTGCAAATACCACAGCGGTGGTAAAAAAGGCCCAGCAGCGTCTCCACTTTCTGAGAGTGCTCAGGAGGAACAACCTGGAGGAGAGGCTGCTGGTGACATTTTACAGAGCCACCATAGAGAGCATCCTAACGTACGGCATAACAACATGGTTGCAGGGTGCTCAGCTGCGGACAGGAAAGTACTGCAGAGGGTCATCAACACAGCCCAGAAGATCACTGGCTGCTCTCTGCCCAGCCTGGAGGTCACTGCAAACTCTCGGTACCTCAGCAGAGCTGGCAATATCATCAAGGACCACTCTCACCCCAGCAATCAACTGTTTGAGCTATTACTGTCAGGCTGACGGTACAGGTCACATAAAACCAGGACAAACAGATTCAGGGATAGCTTCTTTCCCAGAGCTATCACTGTAGTAAATAAGCACAAAATCAAATGAACCTGCTTAGCTATACCATACCGTCACTGCCATTATATTATGCTGCTATTCATACTGTCATTATATTAATGCTGCTATCCTGTATATATCGTACTTACTATTGTTTGAGTACTTGCGATTGTTTTATTGTACTTTTTATATTTTACATTTATATTTATTATTGAATCTTGCACCAAGGGAGTGGCACTCCAATTTCGTTGTACTCTGTACAATGACAATAAAGGCTATTCTATTCTATTCTATTCTATTCTATTCTATTCTATTTCCTACCCTCCATGTCACTTCAGGTTTCCAAGGTTTTCATCATTTTGTTCAGGGCATGTTCATGTATCTAGTTCATGTTTGTATTTCATAGT